CCTATTACAGTGGTGGTGCCGTATCTGGATCATGGCGGTAACCCTTTGCCCCCTTTATAGGGGCCTGACGGCTGAGTGGACAGCGCTCGGTATTCGTAGTCCTAAAGTTCCGGGTTCGATCCCTAGCGGAGGCGCAACCAAATGGGCAGAGTTTTTGTCACCCTGATACCCTTGTTCACCAAGCAGTAAATAGGTACCTGGGTGCTGGGTGCTAGACAGCTGCTGCGGGCTGCTTCCTCGGGATGTGAAACAAAAAAGGAGGCCGGGTCGAGGACCGGGCCGCGGGGACGCTAAGCCCCGAAATCATCTCAAGATAAGCCTATATGGATCATGATAGTGTCCCCCTTCAGCCTATGTGGCTCATATATGTCGTGATTTATATGATTTATGCGACATATATAATTTATATGCCCTGCGGTATATAAATCCTGTGTGTGTGTGTCTGTTACTTGAAATAATCAATATAAATTTTGTAAAAAAAAAAAGATACAGAAATAGTTAATTGAAACAACTGATAGTTAACACTCTGGTAAGCCACTGGTAGCTGGAATCAACATGTGCCTTTTCATAATTTTAATTAAATATAGTTCACCCACAAGGTTGTCAGTTTAAAGATTACAGGTCAACAAATTTTTTTCATTCATGGCAAACTAAATAATGAAGTTTGAACTAGCTAAATTTAACCAGAATTTTTTTTTTTTAGTGGGAGAGGGGGGGGGGGGTACCCCACATTATATTCTGCCAATCAAATGAAATACGTAAATAACACGAATTACAAAATCAGACCAAATCCTTACCTCGGCCAACATATATTTGAAGTACAGGTAATATACTGTAACTAAATTAATGTTATGGAAGTTGACTGAACAATTTCTTATTCCTGGTCAATTTCAGCATGTTTAAGAGTATGTTTCAATGTGATATACTTGCTGTAACTTCATATTAGTTCTCCATAACGGAACCCATTTCCTGAACCCGTTATGTGCCTCTGAAATGTATATATGCTGGTTAGCATTGTAAATGTGGCCACGTCTGTGGTAGAAAATAATAATACAAAAAAATACAAAAAAAAAATCACCGCCCACGGGATGGGTATGGGGTGCATAATGAGTGACTAAACACGTCTAAAATTGTCTTCGCATCATTGTAATATTTTGGTGTAAACTTTTACCACTATTTGTCGCTATGGTAAACTACTCCGTGTCGTACTAACGTATTTCACCTTTCTAACTGTAAACTCAATTTAATTTTGCACCAGAGGGCTAGTGTACTGGGCGGCGTCACTCATCCCGTGAGTGACCACACCGCCATAGTGAGAGTACTGGTCAGCGTCACTCATCCCGTGAGTGACCACACTGCCATAGTGAGAGTACTGGTCAGCGTCACTCATCCCGTGAGTGACCACACTGCCATAGTGACAGGACTGGTCAGCGTCACTCATCCCGTGAGTGACCACACCGCCATAGTGAGAGTACTGGTCAGCGTCACTCATCCCGTGAGTGACCACACCGCCATAGTGAGAGTACTGGTCAGCGTCACTCATCCCGTGAGTGACCACACTGCCATAGGGACAGTACTAGTCAGCGTCACTCATCCCGTGAGTGACCACACTGCCTTAGTGACAGTACTGGTCAGCGTCACTCATCCCGTGAGTGACCACACCGCCATAGTGAGAGTACTGGTCAGCGTCACTCATCCCGTGAGTGACCACACTGCCATAGTGACAGTACTGGTCAGCGTCACTCATCCCGTGAGTGACCACACCGCCATAGTGAGAGTACTGGTCAGCGTCACTCATCCCGTGAGTGACCACACCGCCATAGTGAGAGTACTGGTCAGCGTCACTCATCCCGTGAGTGACCACACTGCCATAGGGACAGTACTGGTCAGCGTCACTCATCCCGTGAGTGACCACACTGCCATAGTGACAGTACTGGTCAGCGTTACTCATCCCGTGAGTGACCACACCGCCAACACAGGTGGTGGAGGTGCACGCCGTCACAACACAGGTGGTGGAGGTGCACGCCGTCACAACACAGGTGGTGGTGCACGCCGTCACAACACAGGTGGTGGTGGTGCACGCCGTCACAACACAGGTATAAGCTTATTTGTGTTCGTAAAGGTACACACAGTATACAAGATCCCCGAGAGGGGTAGGGGGGGGGGTAGAAGGGGAGAGTGGGGGGGTAGGGGAGAATGTGGAAGAGAAGAGTGAGGAAGTGGGAAAGAACAAGATGATCTGAAACAGGAGACCGCCTCGGTACAAATCGAAGCTGAAGAGTCACATCAAAATTTAGGGTTGGCGGAGTGGGAAGGGAAAGGAAAGGAGATGGAAGGGGGGTTGAGAGAGAAGGGGGGGGAGAGGAAGAAGGCTGGAGATGGGAGAATTGGAACAGGATGGGAGGGAAAACGCGGGGAAAGTGTGGGTGAGAGAGAGAGAGAGGATGGGACGGGGAGGGCGTCTACATATAACCCAGGTATTACGTAAGCAGACGGTCGGTATAAATGCCCCGGGGCAGGCCGGGCGGCCGCCACTGGCACTCCACAAAACGCTACAGCCACACGCCCCACCGCTGATTGTTGCCGGAATCCCAGTGAGTGACTTGTTGCTACCGTCTTGAGACAACATCAACCGGTCTGTGTGCCACATGGACGGGTCCTGTGGCCACCTTAATGACAGGCCAACACAACATTGTGACGGGACATGCGTAGCCACGTGACAAATGGCAAAACAACTTCTAAGACGTGACGCTAAACGTATCAATCACAAGACGATACAAGATGATTGGGTTTCCGCTGCGTGATGTAAGGGGGACGAGGGCAGGGAGTGAGGGGGAACGAGAGAGGGGGTGATTTGCCGTCAACTAGGCCGTAATTGTTGTGACTGACGAAGGAGACGACGACCTCTATGCTACCAGGACCTCGTGAGTTACCTGTGGCCACGTGTAAGGGGCGGTTATCCCCCCTTAGCAGGAGCGCCCCCTCGCACCAAGACGGGTGGCGCCCACGCCTTCACCACCGCCCTTCTCCAACATTGTGTGTAAAACTTTAAACAACAACAAGCGTAAAACAGTGTGTATGAGCTCAGTTCCTTGTATTATGGACGTCATATCCAGGCCCTGCGCGTGGTAGTGGAGGGTGACACACGTACATGATGGGCTCACCGACTGAACCTCTGTTGGATTGGGTCTTCGGATTGCATTGTTGGGTGTAAATCATCCTATGTGAGGGTGTTGCCGTCGGGGGGATCATCCTGAGCTATTCATTCGCCGCAAAGTTTGACAGACTTGTCGGCTTGTGGTGGTAGTGTAGCGGTGGTGTGTGTGTGTGTGTGTGTTTACTAGTTGTGTTTTTACGGGGGTTGAGCTTTGCTCTTTCGGCCCGCCTCTCAACTGTCAATCAACTGTTTACTAACTACTTTTTTTTTTTCCCTCCCACACCACACACACACACACCAGGAAGCAGCCCGTGACAGCTGACTAACTCCCAGGTACCTATTTACTGCTAGGTAACAGGGGCATTCAGGGTGAAAGAAACTTTGCCCATTTGTTTCTGCCTCGTGCGGGAATCGAACCCGCGCCACAGAATTACGAATCCTGCGCGCTATCCACCAGGCTACGAGGCCCCTGTGTGTGTGTGTGTGTGTGTGTGTGTGTGTGTGTGTGTGTGTGTGTGTGTGTGTGTGTGTGTGTGTGTGTGTGTGTGTGTGTGTGTGTGTGTGTGTGTGTGTACGTAGCGTGAGCGTGCGTGGTGTGTGTACGTGAGCGAGCGAGCAAGACAGACAGAGACAGACAGACAGACACAGACAGAGACAGACAGACAGAGACAGACAGAGAGAGAGAGAGAGAGAGAGAGAGAGAGAGAGAGAGAGAAAGAGAGAGAGAGAGAGAGAAAGAGAGAGAGAAAGAGAGAGAGAGAGAGAGAGAAGGAGAGGAGAGAGAGAGAGAGAGAGAGAGAGAGAGAGAGAGAGAGAGAGAGCGCGCGCGCAAGCCTGCTAGTATAGGATGCGGTGGGATAGGGGGGAGGGAGCCTAGCCACGCCTCAGCCAACCAACACTACCTATTCTTATCACCCGTGAAGGGGGTCGGCACAACACCTATGTTGGGACGTGCCTCACGTGCCAGGCCATGATGGGACGTGCCTCACGTGCCAGCCCATGATGGGACGTGCCTCACGTGCCAGGCCATGATGGGACGTGCCTCACGTGCCAGCCCATGATGGGGTCTGACCTGCGGGGGGGAGGGGCTGGCTGAGCCACACCTCCTGTGACCACGCGGGGAGGGGCTGGCTGAGCCACACCTCCTGTGACCACGTGGGGAGGGGCTGGCTGAGCCACACCTCCTGTGACCACGTGGGGAGGGGCTGGCTGAGCCACACCTCCTGTGACCACGCGGGGAGGGGCTGGCTGAGCCACACCTCCTGTGACCACGCGGGGAGGGGCTGGCTGAGCCACACCACCTGTGACCACGTGGGGAGGGGCTGGCTGAGCCACACCACCTGTGACCACGTGGGGAGGGGCTGGCTGAGCCACACCTCCTGTGACCACGCGGGGAGGGGCTGGCTGAGCCACACCTCCTGTGACCACGCGGGGAGGGACTGGCTGAGCCACACCACCTGTGACCACGTGGGGAGGGGCTGGCTGAGCCACACCTCCTGTGACCACGCGGGGAGGGGCTGGCTGAGCCACACAACCTGTGACCACGTGGGGAGGGGCTGGCTGAGCCACACCTCCTGTGACCACGCGGGGAGGGGCTGGCTGAGCCACACCTCCTGTGACCACGTGGGGAGGGGCTGGCTGAGCCACACCTCCTGTGACCACGCGGGGAGGGGCTGGCTGAGCCACGCCACCTGTGACCACGTGGGGAGGGGCTGGCTGAGCCACACCACCTGTGACCACGCGGGGAGGGGCTGGCTGAGTCACACCTCCTGTGACCTACAACATCACAACCAAGGCGCCAGCGGCGGAGGGTGACGGTGCAGTAGTTGCTCGTGTGTGCAGGAATAGTCAAAAACTATCGCCATGGCCACGGTGGTGCCCCTTGGCACCCCCCCCCACCACGTGGTGATCCTGGCACTGTTCCCGTGCAGCAGCAGCTATCTAGGCGCGCCTTACCGTGCTAGTGGGCCATCCAAGCCACGCCAAGTACGCCCTCAACTGCCACATTCCCAGGCGCCAGTGTCGGGGAGGAAGCTAATATTATGCGTGGTGGTGATCAGGGCCGAGCTGTCTCGGGTGTATGGGGGATGAAGCCACCAGGGTCGACCTGGAGAGGCCTGGTCGACGACCGGGCCGCGGGGTCGCTGAGCCCCGAAATCACCTGAATGTAAGGGTCGTCGGGGTGGTAAACTACCTCCTACCCGTCTCTCTCATCTCTCAAACACACACACACATGCTTCCCAATTCCGTGCCAAGTTGCATAGCACAATTTTGAAGGTGCTTCAGGATTCACGAGTTTATTTCTCGTATTGCATCTGTGTTATGCTGTTTTTTTTCCATTTAGGCCTAGCATTGCAAGCTGGCGGGTTAGCGAGCACTTAGGTTGGTTGAGGGTTGTAACATAACTTTCAGTTCCTTAAATTTACCCAAGTTTTAGTCAATTTATGAAATTTCACGAACTGTTCCGTGTCGATAGATTCCTTTACATTATCTTCTTACTGTGTAGACATTGTACCTGCTCTGGTGCGTGTAGGCGGGACCCACACACCTGGAACACGTCAGTGTCACATGTGTCACACTGGGAGGGGGGGGGGGGGTGTAGTGTTTACAAGATGGTGGTAGGTCAAGCGACCTATTCTTACTCCCGTGATGGTCCATTCATAAATCCAGACTTGCGTGGTCTAACCTTAGTCCTGTGAAGGTCCATCCATAACTGAGTTTCCAGTGTATTAAGAGAGCGTTGTGGGAGGGCACCACCAGTGTTTAACAGTTTATCTTTATCTACCCTGACAATTCCTCTCAGAATTTTGTAGGTATACAAGGTTCTCGTGTTCTCTCTCTCGTTGTGTGTGTGTGTACTCACCTAGTTGTGTCTGCAGGATCGAGCATTGACTCTTGTATCGCGCCTTTCGAGCATCGGTTGTTTACAGCAATGACTCCTGTCCCATTTCCCTATCATACCTGGTTTTAAAATTATGAATAGTATTTGCTTCCACAACCTGTTCCTGAAGTGCATTCCATTTCCCCACTGCTCTCACGCTAAAAGAAAACTTCCTAACATCTCTGTGACTCATCTGAGTTTCAAGCTTCCATCCATGTCCCCTCGTTCTGTTACTATTCCATGTGAACATTTCGTCTATGTCCACTCTGTCAATCCCTCTGAGTATCTTATACGTTCCTATCATGTCCCCCCTCTCCCTTCTTCTTTCTAGTGTCGTAAGGCACAGGTGTGTGTGTGTGTGTGTGTGTGTGTGTGTGTGTGTGTGTGTGTGTGTGTGTGTGTGTGTTTCTTTTGGTTGTGGTTGGGGGGACGGGTAAAGAGGTGTTGCACGTGACCTGTCCTGTTTTATCAACATCAAACAGGGAATCGAAGCTCGTTTTAAAACCCTAATTATGTGTACTTTCTCCCAGAACACGATTTGTTGAATGGCTTTACATCCAGGAGGCCCCTAGTTCATTCCTCCTGATCTCTTTCACACTCGGGTTTACCAATGCATAACCATTAACGTAAACTAAGTTTACATTAAATTATATTTGACCACTCTTGGTGTAGTGAGGGTGGTGACAAGTTGCCTCATCCAGGGGGTGAGTGTGGTAGGCGCTCCCGGCAACAGCCGCGTGTCCAGCTTGTCTCCTCTTGGATATTGCTTTTAAAACAACACGAATCAGCCAGTCTCGCTCCACCCCACCACCACACTAGTGGCGGCGGCTCCTCCACACTAGTGGCGGCGGCTCCTCCACACTAGTGGCGGCGGCTCCTCCACACTAGTGGCGGCGGCTCCACCACACTAGTGGCGGCGGCTCCTCCACACTAGTGGCGGCGGCTCCTCCACACTAGTGGCGGCGGCTCCACCACACTAGTGGCGGCGGCTCCACCACACTAGTGGCGGCGGCTCCACCACCACCGCTCCAGTATGGGCAGGAGTGTGACCAACACCGACAAATAAAAGAGAAAAAGAAGAGGAGAGACGAGGAAGGCTGAAGAGAAGCAGGTCGAGAGGCGAATAAAATAGCCAACAACGACCAAGCAGAAGAGAGAGAACAAGAAAGTAGGGAGGAAGAGAGATTATACTGGGAGATTATACCCCCCCTCCACTCCCAGATTATACTGGGAGGAAGAGAGATTATACTGGGAGTGGGGGGGGGCGGGGGATGCAGAGGCCAGGAATCACTTGTTTGTTCAATGCTCCAAAAGTACAGCCAACTACACTGGAATTCTTTATGCAAATTCTCTGTTCATTGTTCATTCAGTTTGTTGAGTCAGGAAATTACCAATTCTTAAAGAATTGTGTTGACTGAGGGTGTGCAGGCAGCGAGCCCAGAGATGGGAGGGGAGTATTGAGATGGAAATTAAATAAAGGAGGGACGAGGATTGAGGGTTGAGGTATAGAAGGGAGGAGGAGGTGGGGAGAGGAGATGAGAGGGAGAGGAGGAGGAGAGGAGAGGAGAGAGGGGGGAGGTGGAAGGAGAGAGGTGGTGTGAAAGAGGTGGAGGAGAGAGAGGTGGGGGGGGGGGAGGGAGAGAGAGGGGGAGAGAAAGAGGTGGGGAGAGAGGTGGTGGGGGAGAGAAAGAGATGGGGAGAGAGGTGGTGGGGGAGAGACGAAGGGAGAGGGGTAAGGAGGAGAGACCACAACTCACACCCCGGGCAGCCGAGCAACAAGTGCCAGGCAGTGTTATAATCCAGCCTTAAAGGCGCCTGGTTACTCCATGGATGCCTCTGTGGGAGGGTCGATACTAGTGGCGTGATGGCCGGCTTAGTCGGTGGCTCGCTCATGCCCTCGCTTGTCTAGGTCAATGGCACACCATTTTATTCATAACTAGGTTTAGTTTTCCTTATTGGGTGGGTGTGATTTTTTTTTATGGCTTGGTTATTTGGTCTGGGTCTTGTGGAGGCAAAAGTGAATACTAACATCGGAGGTTAGTGAGGCTGAGCCACTACCAGAATATTCAGATTGCAAACTCTGTAACAAACCTTTAATGCATTCACTAGAACACTATATTGTTGAATGTGAAACCGTAAAAGATTTCAGACCTTCTGGCCTCTTGTACCACCAAGTGTGTAACTGTTTCATTGAATCTGCTGTACTGGACGACATCCTAACAATTTATCCAAAATTTGCTTGTCCATTTCCTTATGAAAATGAACTCTTATAAACCCATCCCTGTCCTTGTGTTGCAGTGCACAATAAAAAGTTGATTTTAAATATTCGTACATTAAAACATTGATTGTAACCATGATATATATATGCTTCAGCCTACAGTTTAGACCTTTTGTCTTGTGTATGACCCTCTGTCCTGTGTGACAGTGAATACCAGCATCATCCTCACTTTAATAAGACTTAATTGAAATCCTCAGAGTAGGCAAAATTGTAATTAAATTTTGTCAATAAAGATGTTAATAATAATAATACTAACATTGTATGACCAACGTAGGTCTATGGTGAATGACACGAAACAATGGGTTGCTTTCTTATCTATGTTTTAAATTTTGCCCCGAGGGGCGAGCTTATTGGGCAGCGCCACTCATCTTGTGAGTGGACACACCGCCATAGCAGCGTGTACAACACTCCCCAAAAGGAAGAAAACCCGCTGGGTTGTTCATCCTGTCACTTGTACCCAGACACAGCTGGGACGTGCCAAGCTGTCTCAAGTATCTATGTCAGAGAACGAAGTGTGGGGGACTGGCCGATTGTGTTGGACTTACTGCCACTCTCCGCAATCTTTGGTAGAAGATGTAACGTCCATCTCTCTCTACTTCTCCAGGTCTCATTTGACCATTTTATTGGCACATTTTCCAAAACCATTGGCAAAATTGGTGTATACAACGCCCCCAAAAAATTCTAGAGCCATGTATACCTGGATTATTGACCTCATTCTAATCCATAAATCTGGCAAATTGGCTTCTAAGCGCACTCTTGTGGGTGATGCAAATGCGACCGGTCTGAAGGTTGACCTCAAGTTAAAGCCTCAACCCTATAGGTTCAACCTTCAACCCTATGAAGTATAGTGGTATACCGAGTGCTTAAGGCTGCAGGATGCCGCCTGCCTCCATGACATACCATGTGCCCGTATACCATGTGCCCGTATTAATTATATTTTGTACTTTGTTTACAACCAAAAATTCCGGAAATAGGGACCCGGAGGTGAATGTACGGATGCGATGTCTATTTATATTTTCAAGTTTGAGGGGTTTGTTATATCCATTATATTTGTGTGTGGACCAAGACTATATACTCGAGTTTTGAGGATCATCATCTTGCATTGTGTGGTTCCTTACTAGACACGGCTTCGTATCGTTCTTTCTGAACATATCTAAATGTCTTATCATCGGCGTACACATCTCCTTTTGCAAGGTATTTTGCATGCAGATATTCTCATTCTCTCTCTGCATATTTAAAGAAGTATTTGGGGAGTTTTCCCTTCTCGTTATATGGAACTGAATTTTGTGTTTCTTAAATCAATTATCAACTGAAATTTTTGCTCTCTGTAATTTCTCTGTTCCAATTTTGGGGGAAATTTTCGTTCGCCGAAATATTCTTGAACCAATAATCCGTAGTCGTCGTAGGCTGTATGGTGCTTCGGGAGCAAGAGTTTGAGACTCCGGAGTGTATATAGCGAATAGCATGATAGCATGCTGCAATACTATGCATTTATGCATGCCATGCTTATCGTACTCTATTTCTGCTTCCCTCCAAATCTATAACAAAAAAAGGGAACATTTTATATTGACTTTCTCCAACCTTCCATCAGGTGTGTAAAGTTTCATGCCTTTCACCTGAAAATCTTAATTCCATAGATTTTAGCATTTTCATTACCTTACAAAGGTCTTGTACATTCATGAGTGAAAATAACGTAACTTACCCAACCATTTGGGCTGGACGGTAGAGCTACGGGCTTGCTTCATGCAGGTCGGTGTTCAATCCCCGACCGTCCAAGTGGTTGGCCACGATTCCTTTCCTCCCCGTCCTCATCCTACATCCTTATCCTGATCCCTTCCAAGTGCTATATAGTCATAATGGCTTAGCGCTTTATCCTGCTTCGAATCTGCATTGTTCTTCGTATGCATATTTATGAATTTCTTAGTACGTATGTATGTATGTATGTATGCATGTATGTATGTATGTATGTATGTATGTATGTATGTATGTATGTATGTATGCAACTGCATTCTTTTCTGTTTTCCAATTCGCCTGTGCCTTTTATTTCATAGTAATACATAGAATTTATTGCATAACATTACATAGGATTGCATAGTATTGACATAAATTGTCCTTTTGGTCTTTGTTATATTTGTTATCTATCTGTCTATATCTCTCTATCTCTCTCTCTCTCTCTCTCTCTCTCTCTCTCTCTCTCTCTCTCTCTCTCTCTCTCTCTCTCTCTCTCTCTCTCTCCCTCCCTATTTTAATTCCCAATTTAATTTGTTCTTTCCAATTCTTCGTCATTAGTGCAGGCACTTTGGTGCTGCTGTAGGCGTATGTGTTGTGTGTCATTGTACACCACTTCACCTTATAATGTGTGTTCCCCTATTTTAAAGTGTTGGTAAGTTGTACAATTAGTTTAACTTTCGACTTTGAAATACTGTTTTGCCACTTTTAAGGTGGTTCATTTATTATGTGTGTCATACGCATCCTATGAGCGGCAGTGGACCCCATACCCATCCTGTGAGCGACAGTGGACCCCATACCCCTCCTGTGAGCGGCAGTGGACCCCATACCCATCCTGTGAGCGGCAGTGGACCCCATACCCATCCTGTGAGCGGCAGTGGACCCCATACCCATCCTGTGAGCGGCAGTGGACCCCATACCCATCCTGTGAGCGGCAGTGGACCCCATACCCATCCTGTGAGCGACAGTGGACCCCATACCCATCCTGTGAGCGGCAGTGGACCCCATACCCCTCCTGTGAGCGGCAGTGGACCCCATACCCCTCCTGTGAGCGGCAGTGGACCCCATACCCCTCCTGTGAGCAGCAACAAGTGCATATGCAACACCCTGTATAGGCCTAAGTGCATACGCAACACCTTGTATAGTCCTAAGTGCATACGCAACACCTTGTATAGTCCTAAGTGCATATGCAACACCTTGTACAGTCCTAAGTGTATACGCAACACCTTGTATAGTCCTAAGTGTATACGCAACACCTTGCATAGTCCTAAGTGCATATGCAACACCCTACATAGTGTTAAAGCATCACCTTAAGATAACTCTCACTTGGAAGCATCATAGGTTCTTATCGTATATTATTTTCTCTTCCTTTTGTTATCTTATACTTCCTGCCTCTTTCCTCCTCCTCCTCCTCCTCCTGCCTCACTACTCCCCTCCCTCATTACCACCGTAAACGGCTCACCGACGGCCGCCTCTCCTCACCAGGCGCGCACACATATACACACACACACACACTCACAATGTCAGGCAGGAGCAGGCCGGGGCAGGGTGCATGGCTGTCCTTCGAGAACGGCCTCGAGGAGTACAAGGAGAGCCAGATCAAGAATGAGTGGTGGCACAAGGTCAGGGTGAGTACAGAGTGCCACCTTAAGTGCATCCGTCAGGGTGAGTACAGAGTGTGGCCTTAAGTGTATCCGTCAGGGTGAGTACAGAGTGTGACCTTAAGTGTATCCGTCATGGTGAGTACAGTGTGACCTTAAGTGTATTCATCACAGTGAGTACAGAGTGGCACCTTAGGTGTATCCATCACTGTGAGTACAGAGTGTGACCATAAGTGCATCCATCACGGTGAGTACAGAGTGAGACCTTAAGTGCATCCATCACGGTGAGTACAGAGAGCCACCTTAAGTGTATTCATCACGGTGAGTACAGAGTGCCACCTTAAGTGTATTTATCACGGTGAGTACAGAGTGAGACCTTAAGTGCATCCATCACGGTGAGTACAGAGAGCCACCTTAAGTGCACCCATCACGGTGAGTACAGAGTGAGACCTTAAGTGCATCCATCACGGTGAGTACAGAGTGCCACCTTAAGTGCACCCATCACGGTGAGTACAGAGAGCCACCTTAAGTGCATCCATCACGGTGAGTACAGAGAGCCACCTTAAGTGCACCCATCACGGTGAGTACAGAGAGCCACCTTAAGTGCATCCATCACGGTGAGTACAGAGTGAGACCTTAAGTGCATCCATCACGGTGAGTACAGAGTGCCACCTTAAGTGCACCCATCACGGTGAGTACAGAGTGAGACCTTAAGTGTATTCATCACGGTGAGTACAGAGTGAGACCTTAAGTGCATCCATCACGGTGAGTACAGAAAGCCACCTTAAGTGCACCCATCACGGTGAGTACAGAGAGCCACCTTAAGTGCATCCATCACGGTGAGTACAGAGTGAGACCTTAAGTGCATCCATCACGGTGAGTACAGAGTGCCACCTTAAGTGCACCCATCACGGTGAGTACAGAGTGAGACCTTAAGTGCATCCATCACGGTGAGTACAGAGAGCCACCTTAAGTGCACCCATCACGGTGAGTACAGAGAGCCACCTTAAGTGCATCCATCACGGTGAGTACAGAGTGCCACCTTAAGTGCATCCATCACGGTGAGTACAGAGTGCCACCTTAAGTGCACCCATCACGGTGAGTACAGAGTGCCACCTTAAGTGCCATAATCTGGCACTTGAGTTGTGTTAAAGCTATAGTGTGTTGCGTCATAATGTAGGTGTTTGTTTTGATTAGTCGCCCTTGAATAGCGAGGCTAGTGTTTACTCTGGGCCTCCTGTCAGCCCGTCCTCGCCAGCGTCCCCCAACGCCCAGAAACTGTCGTCCTAAAGTGCCCTTATCCTAACCTACCAGAGGAACTACGGGCTCACCATAGCCCGTGCTACTTGGAACTTTTTGTTCCAAGTAGCGAATCTTAAACAACAACATACCAGAGGACCCCCGAACAGAAAACGGGACAATACGTCAATCTCACGAGCTGCTTACCAGTTACTGGCCTTGGGTAGAGTATACGTCAAAATACGTCGTTTTATGAGGAGGACGGGTTGTTTTTGAGTGGTACTAACGTTGTGGTGGTACTAACGTTCTGGTGGTACTAACGTTGTGGTGGTACTAACGTTGTGGTGGTACTAACGTTTATACTGTGGTGGTGATTTGTGTGTGTTATAACAGTTAAACGTTTGTGTTGTGGTGGAGACGAGGATAAGGGTCGCACGCCTGGGGGGGGAGGGGGGGGGAAATTCCGTGGTCGCAGGTTCGAGTCCCAGGCACTACTCCAACTAATTTCCTCACTGATATATATAATATATCACTTTAGAGTGACTTCTTTGTCTATAATGTCTGTGTTGTGTCAGGGTTAATGTCTGTGTTGTGTCGGGGTTAATGTCTGTGTTGTGTCGGGGTTAATGTCTGTGTTGTGTCGTGGTTAATGTCTGTGTTGTGTCGGGGTTAATGTCTGTGTTGTGTCGGGGTTAATGTCTGTGTTGTGTCAGGGTTAATGTCTGTGTTGTGTCAAGGGTTAATGTCTGTGTTGTGTCAGAGGTTAATGTCTGTGTTGTGTCGGAGGTTAATGTCTGTGTTGTGTCAGGGTTAATGTCTGTGTTGTAGCAAGATTGTTGTTTTGCTCTGTGGCTAATGTTTGTTCTGCTCTGTGGTTAATGTTTGTTCTGCTCTGTGGCTAATGTTTGTTCTGCTCTGTGGCTAATGTTTGTTCTGCTCTGTGGCTAATGTTTGTTCTGCTCTGTGGCTAATGTTTGTTCTGCTCTGTGGCTAATGTTTGCTCTGCTCTGTGGCTAATGTTTGCTCTGCTCTGTGGCTAATGTTTGCTCTGCTCTGTGGCTGTTTGCTCTGTGGCTAATGTTTATTCTGCTCTGTGGCTAATGTTTGTTCTGCTCTGTGGTTAATGTTTCTTCTGCTCTGTGGCTAATGTTTGTTCTGCTCTGTGGTTAATGTTTATTCTGCTCTGTGGCTCATGTTTGTTCTGCTCTGTGGCTAATGTTTGTTCTGATCTGTGGCTAATGTTTGTTCTGCTCTGTGGCTAATGTTTGTTCTGCTCTGTGGCTAATGTTTCTTCTGCTCTGTGGCTAATGTTTGTTCTGCTCTGTGGCTAATGTTTGTTCTGCTCTGTGGCTAATGTTTGTTCTGCTCTGTGGCTAATGTTTGTTCTGCTCTGTGGCTAATGTTTGTTCTGCTCTGTGGCTAATGTTTGTTCTGCTCTGTGGCTAATGTTTGTTCTGCTCTGTGGCTAATGTTTGCTCTGCTCTGTGGCTAATGTTTCTTCTGCTCTGTGGCTAATGTTTCTTCTGCTCTGTGGCTAATGTTTGTTCTGCTCTGTGGCTAATGTTTGTTCTGCTCTGTGGCTAATGTTTGTTCTGCTCTGTGGCTAATGTTTCTTCTGCTCTGTGGCTAATGTTTCTTCTGCTCTGTGGCTAATGTTTGCACTGTTGCTAACGTGGTATTTACGAAGAGGGACTAACACTTGTATCTTTCCCACAGCCGGACAACCCGCCTATGACAAGGAAGCAGAAGCGGCGTCTCAAGCAGCAGCTTCAAGAAGCCAGCGCCAGCACTGACAATCAGAACAGTAAACCTAAGCCAGACCAGCCAGCTCAAGACAAACCCAAGAAACCCGAGAAGGCCAAAAAGCCGGCCAAGAAGCCACAGCCCGCAGCAGAACCCTCTGCCACAGCAGAGACTGTTGGGCACTCGAAGGAGCCTGCGGCGGCGGCGGCAGCTCCTCCGGCAGACACCGAGAAGCTCAAGCCTCAGAGGAAGGAAAAACCTCCCAGAGAGAAGAAGAAGAAAGCCTCCGAAAGCGAGAAGGAAGTCCCAGAAGCAGCTGACGCCGCCCCGGAGGCTACCGAAGCCGCCTCAGAGACGCCGTCAACAGCGACCCCTGAGTCGAAGAGGAAACCTAAGGCTGCAGGGATGGCACCCCCGACTAAGCAGAAGGCACCAGTTACAGCGGCGCGACAGCAGCCCGTCCAGCAGCCAGCTGCGGAACCCGTAGCTGCAGCAGCACCACAGCCGGCTGTAGAACCAGTAGCAGCACCAGCACCACAGCCGGCCGTAGAACCAGCGCCGCAGCCAGCTGTACAACCAGCACGAGCACCACAGCCGGCCGTAGAACCAGCACCACAGCCGGCCGTAGAACCAGCACCACAGCCGGTTGCAGAACCAGCCCCAGCACCACAGCCGGCCGTAGAACCAGCACAATTACCCGAAGTAGGAACCACAGAGGAAGTAAAACACAAACCAAAGGAAGCCAAACAAGAAGCAAAGAAAAGAGGCAAACCAGATACAAAGAAAGAAGCCAAAATTAAAGCAAAGGAAGCCAAACCAGAAGTAAAGGAAGCCAAACCAGAAGCAAAGGAAGCCAAACCAGAAGCAAAGGAAGCCAAACCAGAAGTAAAGGAAGCCAAACCAGAAGCAAAGGAAGCCAAACCAGAAGTAAAGGAAGCCAAACCAGAAGCAAAGGAAGCCAAACCAGAAGTAAAGGAAGCCAAACCAGAAGCAAAAGAAGCCAAACCAGAAGCAAAGGAAGCCAAACCAGAAGTAAAGGAAGCCAAACCAGAAGTAAAGGAAGCCAAACCAGAAGCAAAAGAAGCCAAACCAGAAGCAAAGGAAGCCAAACCAGAAGCAAAGGAAGCCAAACCAGAAGTAAAGGAAGCCAAACCAGAAGCAAAGGAAGCCAAACCAGAAGCAAAGGAAGCCAAACCAGAAGCAAAGGAAGCCAAACCAGAAGTAAAGGAAGCCAAACCAGAAGTAAAGGAGGCCAAACCAGAAGTAAAGGAAGCCAAACCAGAAGTAAAGGAAGCCAAACCAGAAGTAAAGGAAGCCAAACCAGAAGCAAAGGAAGCCAAACCTGAAGCCAAACCAGAAGCAAAAGAAGCCAAACCAGAAATAAAGGAAGCCAAACCAGAAGTAAAGGAAGCCAAACCTGAAGTCAAACCAGAAGTAAAGGAGGTCAAACCAGAAGTAAAGGAAGCCAAACCAGAAGTAAAGGAAGCCAAACCTGAAGTCAAACCAGAAGTAAAGGAAGTCAAACCAGAAGTAAAGGAAGCCAAACCAGAAGTAAAGGAAGCCAAACCAGAAGTAAAGGAAGCCAAACCTGAAGCCAAACCAGAAGTAAAGGAAGCCAAACCAGAAGCAAAAGAAGCCAAACCAGAAGCAAAGGAAGCCAAACCTGAAGCAAAGGAAGCCAAACCAGAAGTAAAGGAAGCCAAACCAGAATCAAGGGGAGAGTCAAAGCGAGAAGCAAAAGAAGCCAAACGGGAACAGAAGCAAAATGTCAAAAAAGGAGCCAAACCTAAGCCAGAAGTAAAGAAAGAAACCAAACCAGAAGTTAAGGTGGAAGCCAAACCAGAAGTTAAGGTGGAAGCCAAACCAGAAGTAAAGGCAGAAGCCAAACCAGAAGTAAAGCCAGAAGCCAAACCAGAAGTTAAGGCGGAAGCCAAACAAGAAGTAAAAGCAGAGGCCAAACCAGAAGTAAAGCCAGAAGCCAAACCAGAAGTAAAGAAAGAAGCCAAACCAGACAAAAAGAAAGAAGTCAAATCAGAAAAGAAAGAAGCCAAATTAGAAGAAAAGAAAAAATCCAAACCAGAAGCCAAACAAGAAGTAAAGGCAGAAGCCAAACCAGAAGTAAAGTCAGAAGCCAAACCAGAAGTAAAGCCAGAAGCCAAACCAGAAGTAAAGCCAGAAACCAAACCAGAAGTAAAGGCAGAAGCCAAACCAGAAGTAAAGCCAGAAGCCAAACCAGAAGTAAAGCCAGAAGCCAAACCAGAAGTAAAGCCAGAAGCCAAACCAGAAGTAAAGGCAGAAGCCAAACCAGAAGTAAAGCCAGAAGCCAAACCAGAAGTAAAGCCAGAAGCCAAACCAGAAGTAAAGGCAGAAGCCAAACCAGAAGTAAAGCCAGAAGCCAAACCAGAAGTAAAGCCAGAAGCCAAACCAGAAGTAAAGCCAGAAGCCAAACCAGATGAAAAGAAAGAAGCCAAACCAGAAGTAAAGCCAGAAGCCAAACCAGAAGAAAAGAAAGAAGCCAAACCAGAAGTAAAGGCAGAAGCCAAACCAGAAGTAAAGGCAGAAGCCAAACCAGAAGTAAAGGCAGAAGCCAAACCAGAAGTAAAGAAAGAAGCCAAGCCTGAAGAGAAGAAAGCCAAACTAGAAGAAAAGAAAGTGGCCAAACCAGAGGCAGCAGTTGTTGCAGCGAAGGAAGCGCCAATACCATCACAACTTCCACCGCCAGCTGAACCTAAAGAAACCTCGCCACCAGACGCAACCCCAACACCTTCTGCCCCAAAAGAAGCATCTAAACCTCCCGCAGCAAAGGAGGAACCCACGTCAGCACCTGCAAAGGTGTCAGAGACTAAAGTCGAGACGAAGCCTGAGGCAGCAGACGTCAAGTCAGACCTCGTAGCCAAACCCGAGAGGAAGGAGGAAGGATCTCAACCAACTACCCTCGTCGGTCCACTGCCTGGACTTGCACCTTTTCCCGAACCCTCCCCAGCACAGGCCACACCCACCTTGTCCAAAGGATTCGCACCCGTGCTCGACTCCGCCATAGCGCCCGCTGTTGGGGAGCAAAAGCCCGCACCGGCACCGCGGTTCGCTTCAACGTTTGTGCCTCCACTTGGTCCAGCTTTGGCGTCTACGTTGCCAGCAGCACCTTCCCTTGACCAAGCCCAGAAGGATCCCCCGTCCCCTACACTGATGAACCTTCGAGTGCAAGTAGCCCCCTCTGCCACAAAGTCTACACCTGGCCCACAGCCAACTCAACAACCAGTGTCATTCCCAGGCTTCGGACCACCACCTCAGCCTGTCCTTTCATCAAGCTTAAAGCAAGGGTTTATGCCCAGCTTTGGTCCTGCCATGGGACCTGCTGTGGCCTCAGTCCCTTCCACAGCTCCTCCTCTGGGACCAGCACTCTCTCCTGCTCTGGGAACAGCAATGGGCTCAATCTTATCACATGGACTTGACCCTGTTCCTCCAACTGTTTCCTTGAGTTCTCAGGGTCCAGCGCCTACATCTGGAAGCTTCAGCCCCCGCGGTCCAGCACCTTCATCTGGAAGCTTCAGCCCCCAAAGCCCAGCACCTTCTTCTGGAAGCTTCAGCCCCCAGGGTCCACCACCTTCGTCAGGAGGTTTCAGCCCCCAGGGTCCACCACCTTCGTCAGGAGGCTTCAGCCCCCAGGGTCCACCACCTTCGTCTGGAAGCTTCAGCCCCCAGGGTCCACCACCTGCATTTGGTAGCTTCAGCCCTCAAGGTCCAGCACCTTTATCTGGAAGCTTCAGCCTCCAGGGTCCAGCACCGTCACCTGGTAGCTTCAGCTCCCAGGGGCCAGCCCCTGGTTCCATTAGCTTCAGTTCACGAGTCCAAGGCAGTGCTCCTTTCAGCTTCAGCCCAAATAGTCAACCAGCTCCCGCTCCCTTCAGCTTCCTACCTAAAGAGAGCACTGGGGAGCCCGCTGGAGGTCCGGTTCCAGCCCAGGTGTTCGGCAGCCCGCCTCCCCTGGCGCCCATCTCCACCTTCCTCACACAACCTGGAGGTGATGATGGCACCACTCTGATGGAGGAGGCCATGCAGGCTCCGGGTCTCTCCGACGACGACTTCGATCTCCCGCCTCCACCGACGCCACCTCAAGTGGATAAAACAGGCAAAGTGAAGAAGTAAAATGATGAAGCAAAGAAGAAAAAAAAATCAACTTCGCGTTTTCCTGTAACAACCTTGTGGCAGGATTTGACAAAGCTACGATATCTTAATTAAATATAATCGATTTCTACACTTTTTTTTACGAAAAACAAAAATGGGCTCTGTCACAGTGTATTTGTGCTTAGTACAAATAAGTCACTTCTTTTTCGGCATTCCCTGCTGGTGAAATTATATTGTATATGTTAGCTGAAATGCGTTAATAAAATAATTAAATATGTGTTCAGTGGAATTACTCATGACCTTCGACCCCTGAGAAACAGTGCCATGAACACTGCCGGGCGGAATTGCCATGGACAGTGCTAGACGGCAGTTCCAGGACCGCCATCGAACGAGGTTAATTTCCTCGCTGGCGCCGCTCTGTCTGGCCGACGGTGCCTATTGACCCACACACACACACCTGCTCCTCCACCTGCCTCCTGTCACCCGGCAGCCTGCCTCCTGTCACCCGGCAGCCTGCCTCCTGTCAACCGGCAGCCTGCCTCCTGTCACCCGGCAGCCTGCCTCCTGTAGAGCTGAAGTGGTCGGAGACCACTCTCATAATTTGCCACAACCTTCACAATACAACCTCTTATCCTAACCAGAAACGTACGAACCCAAGCAACCCACCGAACCTATCGAGACCGATGCAAAGAAAATGGTAGATATTTGTAAGCCAATACTTTTCATAGTAGGTTGAATTTATACCGTTAGTTACCATAACGTAAAAAAGGCAACTTATTAGTTGAGGGGCGAGTTGGCAGGCGCGCACGCGCGCGCGCACACAAATACATGGATGGCGAAATACTAAAGAAATTGTTCACGACTTTTGTTAGACCAAAGCTAGAATATGCAGCGATTGTGTGGTGCCCATATCTTAAGAAGCACATCAAGAAACTGGAAAAGGTGCAAAGATATGCTACTAAGTGGCTCCCAGAACTGAAGGGCAAGAGCTACGGGGACAGGTTAGGGGCATTAAATATGTCAAAACTAGAAGACAGAAGAAAAAGAGGTGATATGATCACTACATACAAAATAGTAACAGGAATTGATAAAATTGATAGGGAAGATTTCCTGAGACCTGGAACTTCAAGAACAAGAGTCATAGATTTAAGCTAACTAAACAAAGATGCCGAAGAAATATGAGAAAATTCACTTTCGCAAACAGAGTGGTAGACGGTTGGAACAAGTTAAGTGAGAAGGTGGTGGAGGCCAAGACCGTCAGTAGTTTCAAAGCGTTATATAACAGAGTGCTGGGAAGACGGGACACCACGAGCGTAGCTCTTATCCTGTAACTACACTTAGGTAATTACACACACTGCTCCTCACAGCGGGGTTATACAGTCAACTCGTACACAAGAGTTAGACCAAACTCGATTTTTCCGCATATTATATATATATATATATATATATATATATATATATATATATATATATATATATATATATATATATATATATATATATATTCTGGTATGTCAAGAGGAGTACAGGCCGGATCACGATACACTCTGTCCGCTATCATCCCGATCTGGGTTGGGTTAGGGTTAAATAGGCTTTAACATCTATTGGCGAACCTCTTGTGTGTTAGAGTGACTGGTAACTCCTCCCGGCACTCAACTGCTCTTCTGCCACCTGTATTCGCCATAGCATTCATACTCGTATTCAGTCCATCCACAGAGTTGAATTTTGATACTGACTTCTGAGGAAAAATGTGCGTGAACTTTCTTTACAAGGCCTTCATTTACAAGCAAAATTCAAAGTTATTTCTTAAGAAGACACAGTACAAGAATTTCCTTCTGAACAGTTAGTAGGACTTTTCTTTAGAAGGAGGGAAAGTACAAAAAGACCTTGCAGACGATGAGGCACAATAACGAGGCTGAAGATAAGATGACCAGACCACACATTAGAAGATGGACGACGACTGGTACAACCCGTTCTCGCACTTTCTTTAAGTCAATATTAACTTAATAAATACGTGCATATGTGACATACTAATTTATTGTGAATATTTTAGTTTAACTTGAAAAGCTTCATAGAAAACACCGACCTTACCTAACCTTCTTAGTATGTTAAGATAAGCATCTTATTGCTTCGTAATTACAAATATTACTTAACCTATTGTAAGTATAGGTTAAGTAATAATTGTAATTACGAAACAATAAGATGCTTATCTTAACATACTAAGAAGGTTAGGTAAGGTCGGTGTTTTCTATGAAGCTTTTCAAGTTAAACTAAAATATTCACAATAAATTAGTATGTCACATATGCACGTATTTATTAAGTCAATATTGACTATAAGAAAGCTCGAGAACGGGTTGCCTGGTAATGGTCCAGCACGGACCGAAACGTTGTCGTTTCTACATCTTCTGATATGTGGGTTTGGTTACCATACAAAGACCTTTGGAAGGAAAATTATATGAAAATATTTTAAAAAATAAAGTAAAACTATTAACTTTAAAATTATAAAACATGTCGCTTTCAATGCGAATGTCTTATATTGCGTGCAGGATGTCTTCAACTTTGCGTGCAAGACTAACTTGTAATCCCACCTCTTTAGGATTTCCACCCATTTCAACCACACACCCCTTGTCTCGTATTCTTGAAGATATCCTCACAGTGTACCCAAAATTTGCCAGTGCAGGCTACTAAACACATGGCCCTGTATGACTAACCATCCTGCGAGATGGGGACTTGTATTACCACTGCTACCTTATTCACTCTTGTGTTGATGATATCCTCAAAATGCATCCGGAGTCTGCCAGTGCAGACCGCTTATCACATGCCTCTGTATGACTAACCATCCTGTGTGATGGGGGATCTTTTAGCAGCACCTAGTTAGCTTTTTTGACACACTGTACTCCACTTCATATAGTGTAGGGTAGCTGTACTAATGTAGATGTACCTCATGTATAAATAAAAAAAATTGTGCAGGAAAGACCAAGGTTCCACAGAAGACAGGAGATAAAGATTGATTTTGACGCAAGAATTAGTGGTGATGAGCACAGCGTGCTACTCTATATTATTTAAATTTATTAAATGGCATGTATTTACTGTATATTGTATCCCCCCCCCTCCTTAAGCTACTGTGTAATGTACTCACTTAATTAGTCTCCGTGGTGTAGTGGTAAGACACTCGCTTGGCGTTCCGCGAGCGCTATGTCATGGGTTCGTATCCTGGCCGGGGAGGATTTACTGGGCGCAATTCCTTAACTGTAGCCTCTGTTTAACGCAACAGTAAAATGTGTACTTGGATGAAAAAACGATTCTTCGCGGCAGGGGATCGTATTCCAGGGACCATAGGATTAAGGACTTGCCCGAAACGCTACGCGTACTAGTGGCTGTACAAGAATGTAACAACTCTTGTATATACAGTATCTCTATCACTATCCTATGCAAAGAATATATTAGTGCGCCCTCTAATTACGTTTTCTCTCGTTAAAAAATCGTACTTATGGGATGACTATTTTATGTGTGTATTTTTAGCCCATGTCTGTTAAGAAGAAAATTAATATCAAAATAGGAACACACTAATATTTTATGTTTGTCGAAAGAAAGAAATAATAATAAAAAACGGGTTATTTTAATAATAAAAACAGGTTGGCGATCAAAACAGATATATGATTGCTTAATGTACGAATTTACCTGAATTTACCTGAGGGGCAAACATCTCTCTAGTGGCCTCGACGAGAAGGAAGCCAGCGGCTTGCCAAAGGCACCCCCATTATTCCCGGAATTTTTCCCCACATGTAGAATTTGAAGTAATGTCTTGACATTTACGGCTTCGGCGGGTAGGCGGTTCCTTGGGTTAATAACCCTATAGGTGAAAAAGCATCTCCTATTTTCAGTCCTACAGTGTACTCACCTAGTTGTGCTTGCGGGGGTTGAGCTTCGGCTCATTGGTCCCGCCTCTCGACCCTCAAATCAACTGATGTACAGATTCCTGAGCTGTCTGCCAGTGTGGCTTGTTGAACTTGTAGTTGTGACCTTGTATGCGTTGAATTTGATTTTTATATATAAAAAAACGCCCTCCCCCCATTTATTAAACGTACCCAGTGTATACCCCCATTTCTCGGTGAGAATACACGAGTTTACTTTAGTCATGGAAAGTTAACATTGAGTGCCAAAGTACACTTGCCGGTTGGTCAGTAAGCTCTTGTGACAGGGTCTTTAATAACCCTGGTGCAGTTGATGACCCTTAAGCCTAACTGACAGAGTGATGAGCACATCAATCACTGCCACTCCACTATGCTTCATACTTTAATCCTTAGCTCTGTAAGGGATTAATGCTTCTTAAACAGGTTAGAACCAAGGCAGACTGCAGCCTTGAACTTGGCTGTCAGTTATCCAATTTCTTTCTTTATTATGCACCCTATACCCATCCCGTGGGCGGTGGTGGAAAGAGTTACAGAGGCACATAATCGGTTCAGGAACTGAACCCTCTAGTTCGTTAGCTAAACAAATAACAATCTTTTGTCGCTAGTTACACAATTATTAATGTTATATATAAATATATAATGTACATACATATGATCTATATTATTTACACAAATACATATACACACACCGATAATCTTTTGTATCACAAGTGATCAACAAGAGGCTCACAAGTCACTATACAAGGCACTTTACATCTATGGTGAGTCACACAGTTACTACTCTTGCTCCACACCCACCCAACTGGGCGGCAGCTTTACAGTCATGTGCAGGCTGCATCTACAGGCCTTAGACCTTAACACCTGAGCCTTAAACCTCTGAATTTCTTCTCAAATGCTGGTGTACCTAAATGTGTTCAAAAAAATTTCTTACAGGTATCAATATTGGCAACAATGTTTATTAGATCTCTAGTTGATTACTGTGTCTTACACTTAGTGAACCTCTTCACTTCTACTTTGAGCAAACTAGAATAAAACTCTAAGCAACAGCCTGGTGGACCAAGCTCTCACAAGTCAAGCCTGGTCTCGGGCCGGGCTTGGGGAGTAGAAGAACTCCCAGAACCCCATCAAGCAGGTATCAAGCAGGTTAAAGAAGCCATGATAATGATTCTTGGTGCCCCAAAGATGCACATGACCGAAGAACCGAAGCTTCTCAGTATTCTAAAATCATGCAAGTCAACACGAGTTATTACATTAATGTCATGAGATTTCCAACAACATCTGTTCTGAGACTTTGTTTTAATTACTTTGTTCCCCCATTTCACCAGCGATTGGTGCAAACACGGCAGCTCACTCGTTTCATAAAGA